GCTTCCCTGGAGGGACTCCTGCCTGCTATTCCAAACTGGGGACGCGCTGACCGTCACCGTAATGCACTGAATATACAGTACAGGCCAAAAGTTTGGACACACCTTCTCATTCAATGCGTTTTCTTTATTTTCATGACTATTTACATTGTAGATTCTCACTGAAGGCATCAAAACTATGAATGAACACATGTGGAGTTATGTACTTAACAAAAAAAGGTGAAATAACTGAAAACATGTTTTATATTCTAGTTTCTTCAAAATAGCCACCCTTTGCTCTGATTACTGCTTTGCACACTCTTGGCATTCTCCCGATGAGCTTCAAGAGGTAGTCACCTGAAATGGTTTTCCAACAGTTTTGAAGGAGTTTCCAGAGGTGTTTAGCACTTGTTGGCCCCTTTGCCTTCACTCTGCGGTCCAGCTCACCCCAAACCATCTCGATTGGGTTCAGGTCCGGTGACTGTGGAGGCCAGGTCATCTGCCGCAGCACTCCATCACTCTCCTTCTTGGTCAAATAGCCCTTACACAGCCTGGAGGTGTGTTTGGGGTCATTGTCCTGTTGAAAAATAAATGATTGTCCAACTAAACGCAAACCGGATGGGATGGCATGTCGCTGCAGGATGCTGTGGTAGCCATGCTGGTTCAGTGTGCCTTCAATTTTGAATAAATCCCCAACAGTGTCACCAGCAAAACACCCCCACACCATCACACCTCCTCCTCCATGCTTCACAGTGGGAACCAGGCATGTGGAATCCATCCGTTCACCTTTTCTGCGTCTCACAAAGACACGGCAGTTGGAACCAAAGATCTCAAATTAGGACTCATCAGACCAAAGCACAGATTTCCACTGGTCTAATGTCCATTCCTTGTGTTTCTTGGCCCAAACAAATCTCTTCTGCTTGTTGCCTCTCCTTAGCAGTGGTTTCCTAGCAGCTATTTGACCATGAAGGCCTGATTGGCGCAGTCTCCTCTTAACAGTTGTTCTAGAAATGGGTCTGCTGCTAGAACTCTGTGTGGCATTCATCTGGTCTCTGATCTGAGCTGCTGTTAACTTGCGATTTCTGAGGCTGGTGACTCGGATGAACTTATCCTCAGAAGCAGAGGTGACTCTTGGTCTTCCTTTCCTGGGTCGGTCCTCATGTGTGCCAGTTTCATTGTAGCGCTTGATGGTTTTTGCGACTCCACTTGGGGACACATGTAAAGTTTTTGCAATTTTCTGGACTGACTGACCTTCATTTCTTAAAGTAATGATGGCCACTCGTTTTTCTTTAGTTAGCTGATTGGTTCTTGCCATAATATGAATTTTAACAGTTGTCCAATAGGGCTGTCGACTGTGTATTAACCTGACTTCTGCACAACACAACTGATGGTCCCAACCCCATTGATAAAGCAAGAAATTCCACTAATTAACCCTGATAAGGCACACCTGTGAAGTGGAAACCATTTCAGGTGACTACCTCTTGAAGCTCATCTAGAGAATGCCAAGAGTGTGCAAAGCAGTAATCAGAGCAAAGGGTGGCTATTTTGAAGAAACTAGAATATAAAACATGTTTTCAGTTATTTCACCTTTTTTTGTTAAGTACATAACTCCACGTGTTCATTCATAGTTTTGATGCCTTCAGTGAGAATCTACAATGTAAATAGTCATGAAAATAAAGAAAGCGCATTGAATGAGAAGGTGTGTCCAAACTTTTGGCCTGTACAGGCCAAAAGTTTGGACACAATGAGTGGCCATCATTACTTTAAGAAATGAAGGTCAGTCCGGAAAATTGCAAAAACTTTAAATGTGTCCCCAAGTGGAGTCGCAAAAACCATCAAGCGCTACAACGAAACTGGCACACATGAGGACCGACCCAGGAAAGGAAGACCAAGAGTCACCTCTGCTTCTGAGGATAAGTTCATCCGAGTCACCAGCCTCAGAAATCGCAAGTTAACAGCAGCTCAGATCAGAGACCAGATGAATGCCACACAGAGTTCTAGCAGCAGACCCATCTCTAGAACAACTGTTAAGAGGAGACTGCGCCAATCAGGCCTTCATGGTCAAATAGCTGCTAGGAAACCACTGCTAAGGAGAGGCAACAAGCAGAAGAGATTTGTTTGGGCCAAGAAACACAAGGAATGGACATTAGACCAGTGGAAATCCGTGCTTTGGTCTGATGAGTCCTAATTTGAGATCTATGGTTCCAACCGCCGTGTCTTTGTGAGACGCAGAAAAGGTGAACGGATGGATTCCACATGCCTGGTTCCCACTGTGAAGCATGGAGGAGGAGGTGTGATGGTGTGGGGGTGTTTTGCTGGTGACACTGTTGGGGATTTATTCAAAATTGAAGGCACACTGAACCAGCATGGCTACCACAGCATCCTGCAGCGACATGCCATCCCATCCGGTTTGCGTTTAATTGGACGATCATTTATTTTTCAACAGGACAATGACCCCAAACACACCTCCAGGCTGTGTAAGGGCTATTTGACCAAGAAGGAGAGTGATGGAGTGCTGCGGCAGATGACCTGGCCTCCACAGTCACCGGACCTGAACCCAATCGAGATGGTTTGGGGTGAGCTGGACCGCAGAGTGAAGGCAAAGGGGCCAACAAGTGCTAAACACCTCTGGGAACTCCTTCAAGACTGTTGGAAAACCATTTCAGGTGACTACCTCTTGAAGCTCATCGGGAGAATGCCAAGAGTGTGCAAAGCAGTAATCAGAGCAAAGGGTGGCTATTTTGAAGAAACTAGAATATAAAACATGTTTTCAGTTATTTCACCTTTTTTTGTTAAGTACATAACTCCACATGTGTTCATTCATAGTTTTGATGCCTTCAGTGAGAATCTACAATGTAAATAGTCATGAAAATAAAGAAAACGCATTGAATGAGAAGGTGTGTCCAAACTTTTGGCCTGTACTGTAACTCAGCGGTGAACATGTCCCTGTCCCAACCTTTTAGTAATGTGCTGCTGCAGGCATCAAATTCCAGTTTACAGTCACAAATAACAATAGTTATCAGTGTGAACATTACATCTCTTTGTACTGTATTTAATTGAATATAGGTCATAAAAGGATTTACAAAGCCTTGCATTCTTTTTATTTGTGTTTTACGCAGCATCCCAGCAGGTGTTGAGCTGGCAGGACAAGATTACTATCATGTTTTAAATGGCTCTGTCAGCAACTATGGCAAGGAACGATGATCTATTTTGTTGTCAGGCGTGTTTCGGTATTTGGAGGAGGGGCTAAGATGCACTGCCCATCACCCCCCAGTGACAGAGTGACAGGTAAAACCAGCCCAGTGAATCAGATACAGTGAACTGAAGAGGGCTTTCACAGAGACAAGATCACCTGTGCTGCGCTGTCAGATATCTGTGATTTGAACAGGCAAGTTCAACTAGAATTTGCAAACAAAAAGGGCACCAGACAATAGGCTTTTAATGGCAATTACTGACTTTTAGAGTTCGTATTGCTGTTTGTGTTTTACTTACAAGCCTTCCCAAGCTAAATTTTGAGCATGAGATGGCTTTGCAGTGTTGTTTTAACTCTATTAGTCTGCAAGTGCAAATGCTGCCTTGTAGATTGATTACAAATGTGTCACTTAGAAACTTTAAATGTTCAAGCTACTGTGTGTGGACCACACTGATAGCTAGGTATGTTGCAAAGCTGAGGAAGTCATGAATGCTAAATAAGGGTTTCCCTGTACATGTTTCCATCTACCTGCTACCAGAGGACTAAAGTTATCCATAAGCAGAAAATTTTGAAAACTACTGTTACATTTTGTTCGTCTTTAGAAAAGCTGGGTGTGGTAGTGAGATCAGAGTAAGTGATTCTTATCAAGGAGAACAAAACCTCCGTACATGACGCGCTCAGAGGAATTTTAAGCATTATTGTATGACTCATGTCTTCCCTCTGCAGCAGTCGTTTTGGTCTGTCATTAGTGTTACTCTCCAACCCTGAGCAAACTTCAACCTTGTATGACTGTTTATGTCACTTCCTAGGTCGAATGTTTTAAATTTTTCTCTGTTTCTCTTTCTCAGTTTCCACTAAGCTGGATGTTTATGCTTAGATTTGTGAGTATGCAGTGTGAAGCAAACATAAAGTGGGTCTGTGCCAAATATTCAACAACAAAAGCACATAAAAACTGATAGAAATGCAACGACTATGGGCTTGTTTCAGGTATTTTAGCCATGACATTGATTGTCTCCCAACACAGAGAGAAACATGGAAGCTAGTTTTGCTTTATGGGTGTTGGCCGGTTAGAGAGGCGTAACAATGGCCCCCTTCATGATAACAGAGTCTCCACTGATTTCTCGCCTGCTGCCTGTGAATAATATTATCAGCCCACCCCTGAGCGAAAACTTACAGGGTGACTCCAGAGTCGTGTGTGTTTCTTTGTGTGTGTGTGTTTCAGTGGGTGGAGGGTGCGATACAAAGAGTCAAACAGAGTCAAAGGTGGGGACTCAAACTTTTTAAATTCAGGGCGGCGGTCACAAAAGTAGCAGGTCGCATTTTATATCGTGGAGTTTTGTAGTGTGGGTTTAAATAGGGGCCATCTCTCTCTCACCCCAGTTGTACTCTGCCTTGGCGCTCGCTTACACACAGTGCTCGCTCTCTCTGGCTCAGCCTCTTTCCCTCCCTCACCTTCTGTGAGCTAGTTATTCATCCACTGTGTGAGTCAGGGAGGGTGGGGATTTGGAAGACTGCTGTACCAGTCACACTTTGTCAGTTTACTTTCTCATTCCCTTACCCCATCTCTCTCTCTCTCTCTCTCTGTGTCTCTCTCTTTCTGTCTCTATTCCTCTCCCTGCTCTGCTGTTTCCTCTGTATTGCTGCTGCCGCCTCAGCCTGCCCGCCTGCCTGCCTGCTCTTCCGCCCTTATAGTTTACAGAGAGGCTTTGCCGTCCTGTGAAAGAAGAATCCACACTGGCTTTTGATGTTTTAAGGGGAGAATTATTCTAGTCTCAACAAGGTAAGTTGCATAATCTTACATAGAAGGTGAACTAACTTGTGTGGAGTCTGCCCACATGTTGAGCAGCTCGGGTATTTTTTAGAGGGAAGGTTTCTCTTTTTTTTGGTGTTTGAGGATATCAGGCTGCTCTGGTTGAAATGTCTGATTTTATAACGGATACTTCACTGTGTGTTTGGCTAATGGGATCCTGTCTGCTCCTCTGAATTTTTTTTTTCTTTTTGGTTCATCATTAACTCCTGAGTGTGAGCTCCCTTTTTCCATCTCTATGATTCATTGACATGGCTCTCATAGGAAATGTCCCCCCTCCCTTTCCACTGTTTTATATCTCCTTTGTAAAGTAAACCAGCCACCTCGTTGTCAAGGTAATATTGAACGAGTGGTTTTGGTGGGACATACCAGGAAGGAGTAACAGTGTTTTTTGTGTTTTTTTGTAGAACTAATCAAAAGCTTTTATTTTAGTTTGTCACAAGAACAAACTGATGTAGCTAAAAGCTGTAAATCCTGAACATTTCTGTTGAGAGGGTGCAGAGGTCACTGCTTAAAGTCAGGGTGGTGTTTAAATGGTCATGTGACTGCAGCTAAATTGCTCCACTCTGTCATGGAAATTACACAGCAGACACTTTGTGGACCCCTCTCACAGTTATGAGGAAGTTCCTGTCCTCTTGTGGAATTGCAACTAGTATTGCTGATACAGCTAAACAGCAGTGGCAGTTAAAGTTCAGTTCTTCAGTTTATACTAGTGATCCAAACTCTGAGGTGACACTAACGCCTCTAATTGGTGGTGATTAGGAACCGTTAAGTGGTGTCATTGTGTTTGAGTTCACAGGTATAGGCAGGAAATGGTACAAAGAATTGATGTTCACTAACTGGTGTTACTTACTAGGGGTGTAATGATACATTGATCTGGACCAGTATATCGATTCAATGACCAAAGAGCCATTATTCTATATGCCTTTATTTTGAAATTCTCATGGCACATTTGTCACCACTTGCATCCCAAGCTTAGCACCAAGCAGACTAGGGAAGGAGCCAAGAAAAAGACAATGAGGATATTTACTGATATCGTCACAGATCGGTTGCAGGCCCCTCAGCTGAATCGAACCGTGATATATATGGACTTAATTTGATTATTTTCACAAGCAATATGAACCAAGTTACCCATGTCCTTTGTACCTCTGACTACGGATGCAAAAATCATCCTTTGTAAATTCAGACATAGTCCAAAAGTTAAATTCCCACATTTCTACTTCAAATATGAAACCTGAGGCGCTATAAAAACATGTTGCTCCATAAGTGAAATATTTGAGTTCAATACATCTTAGACTACACCCGTATTGGAAATTCCTTTTACTCCCTGATATCACAACCAGCATTGGCCCCAAAAATCCAACATTGGTCAGGCTCTAATATCAGAACATATTAAAGAATCGATATAATATCGTATCGTGATGAAACTTGTGTTTTACACCCCTAATATTGAGTTGTTCTTTTTAAAATGGTCTTTGCCACTTGATGAAAAGTTTTTTTGTGGTTTCATTGAGCTGGAACGGTCGGGGCTTCATTTTCAATTTTCTGAAAACTTCTATCTTCATCAGGGCCTTAGGATACAGAAATATTGTTTCCTTTTTCTTGTTAGTGTTAATGATCATAAGACTGTCCTCCTGACTCACACAATCAGTTTTATTATTGGTCAGTATTCTCTAAAGATCCCTTTCCAGTGACTCACGTGTTGCATGTTCATACAGTAGTTTGAACATGAACTGAGAGATTTAATAAGTTGTATACAAAGAGCAAATTCTACATATTGTAATATTGTCTACAACATAATTTGATCTGTTTTCTAATGTATAAAAACTTACACTAAACTATTAAAATATAAAGAATCACCAACACAATGAAGGGAGAATTGTGGCTTCAGGAATTCCTTTTTAAATATCAGATGTAAACAGATCATCTCATCTGTTTATCATCTCAGATTAAAGCCTTGTGATGTGGTCAAACTGCCTCAACACAACTCAGAGTCACTGTGTTACAGGAACTAAGACGTCACCACTTACCTGAACAGATGGTCATCTTCTCCGTTTAACTGTTCAGCATTTTTCCTCAGAACAAGACAGACTGCACACAACAGACATGATGGTACTGTTGAAATGTGAGGCGCCTGGCCAAATGCCTCACCATCGGTTTAAACACAACCACAGCTTTTTGTATGTATCTGATCTGCTATACAGCACACCATCATGGGCACATTATGTGATAACGGCTGCATAGATGTTAGAAATTGGTCTGGAATGCTGAACCCAATCACCTGTAAGCCTGAACAAGAAGATCTACTAGAAAGATACTGTGCTGTTGACATTGCTTTGTGGTTAACAATTGAAAATCCCTGAGGTGAGCAAGCTGCAGGGGGTATCTACACAGGGAAGAAGAATGTCCAGGTTGTGAGATATTATCTGTTTACACTGTCGATGCGTGCTGCTCACAATCCGTTTTAACTTCGACACAATGAATGCACAAAATAAGCAGATCAAGGGCTGTTATGTTTTCATTTGAACTGTGCAAAAAGGGGCTACAGCTGGAGGTCTTTAGATGTTATATTTGCCATTCTGAATCCCGAACTTGACAGTACCAATTTGATACCATTGCATTTAAAAATGAATAACAGCTACTGCTAACCCTGAAACTAGGGTTTTGAATACTGTACATGTTGCCTTACTGGTGGGACTTTCCAGTGTAAATTATTGCCCTTATCGCTGACATTTTGCTACCAGCTAATGTTAAACTAAACTGCAAATCAGTTCTTTTTCATGACTCTAAAACAGTAGCTGCAAATGGCTACACAGGGCAGCTTGCTGCATGGGCTAAGAAAAATTAATTGCCATGAAAACATTAGTGCTTAGACTAGTGTTCCTGTATTTTAGGCAGTATCGGAGGCATTTCCAGTACTGGTATCGGAACAACTCAAGCTGCAGCAGCAATTTTAGATTTTTTGCATTCAGTGTAAGTTAGTTCCTGCAGATGTAAGAAATGTGTTTTACATGCATTGCCTTGAAGTTTTCAGTTGCTCACTTGCACACTAAAACAGGCTTGAAAACAAGTGTGCACATGTACAAATTCCACCGTCTGTTATCCCGTGATAACATACAAGCTTAAACATACATCTTTAAATTTATACCCAGCTCATTGTTGGCAAAATGCATAGCTGTAGATCAAATGTCTTTGCACTGTATTCTTTCTCTCTGTTTGCCTGAGCAGCACCTTTGTGAGCTCCCTGCCCTTCATTGCACAGCATGAAATTATTAGCTGTTAATTATATTGGCTTAAGGCGGGCTGCTCTTTAGGCCTTGGGCAGTGAAAACTCAGAGCTTTGTAGATTGTACAACAATGGCGTGGTGAGAGAGGAGACCGCACCCTGTGTGTCCTCTACTTTGTGAATATGCTTTACAGTTTACACTTGATATGATAAGCCTTTGTCAACAGAGAATTACGCAGCTCTGAAAACCATAGCAACATTCATGTGTGCACATATATGTAGTTTAACTGATAGATTCTGTTTACAGTGGCAGTTTTCCAATAAGTGCAGTTGCCACATAAGAAGAAGTAACGCTTGTTAGTTTAAGGAACTCGAATATCAGCATAAGCGTTTTGCATGTTGTATTATTAGTTCAGTGATCAGGAACTCTGCCTTGTTGACTCCCAGTTGGGTTCATTTAAGGAGAGCAGTTTGGGTGTTGTGTCTTAACTTCTGGCACGAGTCCTGCACACAAGCAGCCAGTAGAGTGCCGCCTTACTGTGGGATGAGGGATGCCCTCCCAGTTCCCTGTAGCACCTCCTCTCTGATATCAGGCCATGTCTCATGAGCTGTTTGAGCAAAGCATCCTGGGATTTTTGTTGGGAGGGCTTGTTTGGTGAGAGATGAGCTGCGCTGTCCTGGTAATTGCATTTCAATCCCGCTGAATCAGGAAATGTCTCCGAATGCTCCTCCTTAAAAGCATTCATTGGCCACGCGTGATCGCCAGGAAAACCCAAGCAATGAATAAGACATGTGATTTTTATTTGTCGGTATTTATGTAATCCATTCTTGATGGACAGTACTGTTGAGTGTTGTTCTTTTAAAGTATCACATCCAAAAGGACTACATCTGGATTCAGAAGACATGTTCAAGATGTGCAACCTTCAAAAGTGGCAAAAAATAAAAAGTTTGTTGAATTAAGTGATATTTCAGTCTTTGAATTACTGTCATGGGATTGGTGGAGGCATTGTTACTGTTTGTCTTGACATGAGACATAAAGTAACAATAGGCTTATTGTTTTTTTTGCAGATACTTGGGTCACAATACAAGGCGGCAAACATGCTTCGAGAGATCCAGGAGATTGGCTCACACGCCATGGATATCTACGACTACCTCTTGGCGGGAATTGGTAGGTAACTTACCTGAGTAAATAAAGACAATCACAATTTGTGTTTGTTGTTAAATGTAATCGTGTCTTTTTATTTTGCCCCTCTAGATCCGCGGCTGAAGGGATATCCACTGATGCAGAGTCCTATTCCCATGTCCGCAATACTGCTGAGTTACCTGTTCTTTGTACTGTACCTGGGACCTCGCTTAATGGCCAATCGCAAGCCCTTCCAGCTCAAGGAAGCCATGATAGTCTACAACTTCACACTAGTGGTGCTCTCGATATACATCGTCTATGAAGTAAGTTAAAGTCTAACATTTAAAGATGTGTAATTAAAGGACGGATCCATCTGTGTTCTTTTGAGGGTTCTTCAAATGGAAACGCTCATTTAGGGGTGTCATATCAGTGTAATATTTTTCCCCACTTTACCTTGCAGTCAGTCTTTTCTAACAGAGAATTTAAGCTGTTATATCACTCTCTTCAAAGCCACCAGACTTCTTTGACAAAACAATTGATTTACATCTCAGAACACAGGAGTTGCTGGTCTACTAACATGGTGTCCACAGCAGTACATTGATTTGCTGCTGTGACAGTTAACAGGTTTGAGGAATGCAGCTAATGTGACAGATCAATAACACATAGGGCTACATCCACATTATAAGAAAATGTTCCCCAAATCTGTTTTGTATCTCATGAGACACAGATCTGATTTGTTTTGTTTTTTTAGAGCAGTGTGGACACAGAAAGTTTAGATATGGTCCACTTTCATATATGGCCTGAAATCCAATACATATCCAGTCACTGGCCGTGCAGCTGCTGTGAGAGTGGTATCAGATCAGATCACTCACCGCACAGTGTAGGAGCAGTCCGTTAAAACTACAGAAGGCTGCCGCGGTCGTGAGCCATGGAGCTCTTTGACGGGGTTAGCTTGTCTACATTTGAGTCCTGCTGCGACAGCCTGTCGTAAGGCACCAACAGATATATCGGAATGTAGCTCTAGACATCCTAAAGTTTTAGAGGAACTGTTCTCACATGAAACCCTCCACATTGCGGCCCCATCACTCCTGACTCCTCTCCTGCACCCACACCCCTCTCTCCACGGAGCTGCCAGCAATAGTTGCTAACAGAGCCGTAGCTATGGCTTTTTATTTCCCTTCGTCCCTCATGCTCAACATATGATAAATTGTCATCCAACCTCTGCAGCAACTCATTCAGGAGATGAACACTTGCACCGCCATGTCATTACTATTTCCCCCCACATGCCTATCATGCAAATGTGACATTTTTTTGTTGTTTTTTCGTGCATGACGTCATTGGTGGCGTGTGAAAGGCATTTCAGGGCAGAGATACGTTCACACTGATGTCAGTCATGAGTCACCTCAAACATGAATGTAAACAGTCCAGGCAGGAAGATAGGGTCTGGGGGATAAATCAGCATTGAGGGTTAAGCCCTGTAACATGAACTAAAGAGGCACATGAAGCAACGCCATCACATAGAAAGCTACGTCACATGGGAAATGTTTTTAAAAGGGCTTGAGAAAATCTCATGCTAATACAGACTTCAAGAAATAATGTAACCGCCCCTTAATTTACTTCCTACACATAGTGCAGCTCTCAGAATGGGCATATCTTAATTTATGTAGCTTTGGTTGAATTTATATCTGTAAGAATCACTATTTGTTTTTAGCTATGAATACAAACTACAAAATACAGTGAGTCTCCAAGTAAATAAACTTTTCTCATTTAGTTCCTGATGTCTGGTTGGCTCACATCATATACCTGGCGATGCGACGCAGTTGATACGTCCGACAGTCCTGAAGCACTTCGAGTAAGTCCTCGCTGTAATAAGTCGGACACAATTCTTGACAAATAATAAGTGAAATGATTATTTAACCAACTCTTTATTTTTCTCACCAGATGGTCCGAGTGGCCTGGCTGTTCTGGTTCTCCAAGATTATTGAGCTCATGGACACAGTAAGTTTGTTACTCAGTGGCCTCTGTGTGTAGTTTCGGTCACTGTGTCTTGGCTTTAACTGATCAATATCTTCTTTCGATCAGCTGTTCTTCGTGTTGAGGAAAAAGCACGGCCAGGTCACCTTCCTACACATCTTCCACCACTCCTTCATGCCCTGGACCTGGTGGTGGGGAGTTGGCTATGCTCCTGGTGAGTACACACTAACTTGATCTTGATTTATTTAAGACTTTGAAAATGATTAACGGAGAAGCAAGTGCAGGTGGAAGGTTGTCGTGACGTCAACTTCATCATGCAAACCAGTCATGTACATATTTACCTGTACAATCAGCTACACTGTCCCCTTTTTCGGGACCTTAAAGAAACATTGTGCAGGATACCAAGAATATCTAGAATAGTGAGAAAAATTAAGGATGTAGAGGCCGTAGACGTTTCACTCTGAGGCTCTACACTGGTCTGAGTCAGCCTAAAGCTGTTTCATCATTACCCCAGGTGGAATGGGATCTTTCCATGCCATGGTGAATTCTACCGTCCACGTCATCATGTATTTCTACTATGGCCTTGCTGCTGCTGGACCACGCTTCCAGAAGTTTTTGTGGTGGAAGAAATACATGACTGCCATTCAGCTGGTACGGACACCCTACACTCCATTTTCTGTGTAGTTTGCTTCATCATTAATTTTTAATTTTAATTTTGCTACTCATGGGCCTCTGGGAGCAGCTCCAGGACCGCATGATGTAGCCTGAATGCATTTATTTAGAGCCTTTATCCAATGTCTTTAACTACTCTGGTTCCCTCAGTATGTTTTTAAATGCCAAGTTAATGTCTCTGCCCCAAAGGCACTGAGACAAATTCCTCTACATTTATTTTTAGTAAGTGCTTGGCTGACTCTTGATTTCTTCCCAACAGACCCAGTTTGTCTTGGTATCTCTCCATGCTACCCAGTATTACTTCATGGACAGCTGCGACTACCAGTTCCCCATGATCCTCCACCTCATCTGGATGTACGGAACCTTCTTCTTCGTGCTCTTCTCCAACTTCTGGATCCAGGCTTATGTGAAGGGTAAACGGTTGCCCAAACAGGACGTTAAGCAGTGTCAGAACGGCACAGCTGTCTACACCAACGGCAAACACTACGAGAACGGCATCAACCACGGAGCCACCAACGGCACCAGCAATGGCTCAGCTCGCCACGAGAACGGCAGCGCTCACATGAACAAGATGAAGAAGGCCTAGGATCTCTGGAAGGAAACACCCAAGAAGTATGACCCAGAAAACCTGTTAAAAGTATGGTTTCCAAAGATAGTTTTGGCTGTGTTTCTTTTCCTGTTTTTAGTTGTGTATGCAACAAATGGGGAAATGATGTTGTCAATGATCTCCACAGTTGGGGTCCCACATATGGTTGGTTGTTTTGTTTGTTTTTTTATTTGGAACACCATTTATGGAACAAAATGTATGAAGAGAAGATGTTTTGACCTAAATGTTATCTTCACTGATGTTGCAACAACCACCCAGTTCAGTATGACACTGGTGGCCTTTCACCCCACTTGCCTTCACTACTTATCTGACTCCCACGTTGTTCTGACCCCCCTGTGGACAGATGACTGTACAGTTTCTATCGAACTTGAAAATACTTTTTGTAAATAGTTTTACAGCAAACAAAAGAATAACTAATTGTATTGGTATGCTTTAGACTTTCTAAATTTTGTTATATTGTGTATTTAAAATTAAATGCCAATAAATTCAATTTTAAATTATCTTATACATTTTATGTGTCAGTATTTTCACTTGCACAGTAGGTGCTTATTGTACGTTATAGCTGTAGGGGCTTTGGGTGAATACATTGTGCTCTGTTGCAACAGTGAAGAAAAGTATTTGCATTGCTTGCTTGAGCCCCTCATCTCTGCCATCCCAAGTATGTGGAGCAAGTAGGAGGTAAACAAGAGCCCCATTCTGTTTTGTTTAAAGAGATTCATAGTAAGAGGCAGAGAGAAAGCATCCTGCGGAACGGATCTCCACCCACATTACTCAACCATCAGCTGGGTTCATCAGGGACAAAAATGTGGTCATATTTCCATTAGTACTTGAGTGAAGGGGTTGTTTTTACACTCATTCAGTCTTCAAATGGATGCAAGATGTATAAACAAGGGCTGGAACAGGCAGCTTTTCCTTTTATTGCAACATACAGCCACAACATTAAAACCACTGACAGGCAAAGTGAATAACGTTTATCATTTGTTGCAATGCAATGTTCTGCTGGGAAATCTTGGGTCCTGGTATTCATGCGGATGCCACTTGAGATGCAATGACCGTTGCAGACCAAGTACATCCCCTCATAGCAACAGCACTCCCCGATGACAGTATCCACCCTCAGCAGGATAATGCTTCATGCTGCACTACAAAAACGGCTCAGGAATGGCCCGAGGAACGTGACAAAGATCTCAAGGCGTCAACCTGGCCCCAGAATTCCCAAGATCCCAATCTGAGCATCTGAGGAATAGAGACAGGACCTCTGGGGGTGGCCTGTATTGTCTGGCACCAGGGCGTTGGGGGCAGATTTTTTCAGTCCTGTGGGTTGCGAGGTGGGGTAGAAACACATCCAACGCATCCTTAACTGAGTCGGGATCTAGAGAATTTGTCCAACAGTGCAAAAACTCAGGAATGTGACAAAGAGCTCAAGGCGTCTCTGTGACATGCTGGTACCCCACCTTGCAACCCACAGGACTCAAAGGATCCACTGCCAACGTCCTGGTGCCAGACACCACAGGACACCCCTAGAGGCCATGTGCCCATGCCTCGACAGGCCCCAGCGTAGGTCGGACCGGGCTCTGACCTATCGAGGCACGGACACAGAACCTCTAGGGTACCAGCACATCCTGCAGATGCTTGATCAGATCGGGATCTGGGGAATTGGAAGCCCAGGGTGATGCCTTCAGCTGTTTCTCACGTTCCTCGGGCCACTCATTGTGGTGTTGCATGGTGCATTGCCCTGCTGGGAGGCCACTGTCAATGGCGATTTCTGTTGCTATGAGGGGTGTTTTTGGTCTGCAACGCTGTTTGGGTGGGTGGTGCATGTCAGGTGGCATCTACATGAAATTCAGGATCCATGGTTTCCCAGCAGAACATTGCATTATAACAAGATGGTCAATGTTATTCACTTCACCTGTCAGGTTTTAATGTCATGGCTGATCGGTGTGTGTCACAACTGTAAAGTCTTTATGAAACTGATCTTGTGGGAAGGAAATGGTTGTGTTTTGACTACATTTCATTAAAAGATGTTTTTAATTTTCTTCCACCTTCATGTTTATGTATGAAGTAAAATCTTAACCTGCAAAGCAGCTTGTAGTTGTAGTTGTTTAACAGGTGCAGTGTGAAATGGTAATACTCCAGTAAAGTACAAGTATTCCGTGTTGAGTATAGGGTCATGGATGAACAGGCAGTAACTCAGTCATTGTTGCAAGTTTAATTCTAGGCCGACATTACATTTCATGAGCAATTAATTAAAATACATCCAGTAAGAAAACATTCTTCAGGCATTCATTCAGTGTTGCATCAATTTGCTACAGATCTACTACATTCTATTCTTCAAGTCATTCTCTTTTTCTCTTTGCTTTAATGTCGTGGGGCTGAATCCGGCTCCCACTTTTAAAGGTATTCTCCATATGGGAATTTGTATTGAACATTTGTGATGCGAATGATATCAAGCTATGAAGTTGCTACGTCTGTACAGTGTACAGTGATCTGATGGTCCATCCTAGGTTTCATGCGTACCCAGATTGTCTGCTGCAGGGCAGGGTGAGATCAGAGAACCACTAAGAGTCAGATCGTTTCTCTCTACTCGTGAGTGGGTGAGATGGATGCAGACCGTAGATGTGGTCTGGTTCGCCCCTTGAATGTTTTTGTTGCCCTGAAACTGATGGCAGCACTGATGAGAAGTGCCGGAGACAGAGCTGTGGTCAGGGTTTAATAAGATGGAATAGTTGGGTGCACTCTAGGTGATGTTCTCCAGGATGTAAAAGATAAGCTCCATCACTATGGGCTCGTCGCCTCTCTTGCGCCCCCTGCTGTGTATGACGGGGATCAGCACGCTATCCAGGGCGTTCAGGTACTGAGCAGGGAGGGGCTGCCCATTGCTCCCGGCCACAAATCCCACCTGGAATTACAACACAAACCAATAATTAGTTTTAATATAGTCACACCCAGGAGCTTGTGTTATAAACTTAATTATGAGTCATATGTTACATGTCCTCTCCACCAGATTCAGACCAGTTTTTAGTAAAGATCCCTGACTATTATTTAATAAAAGTCTTAACAAGTGGAAGAGCATCTGGAACTGTAAGTAATTCAATGCTGATGTAAAGCTCAAATTATTAGCAGTCACCTATAGAGTAGCATATAATCTAAATATCTTAATGCTAATTAAAGAATTGATCAATTATTACTGGTGCAGGGGCATAGATATAGATATATATGCACTTGGGCCTGTGGGGTTTGGGGGTCCTTGGGAATGATTCAGATTTGATCATGTGACAAGACGATATGATATCCAGTAGCTAGTTTAGGTTTAACATCTGTCAAGACTGGCAAGCTGAGCACATCTGCAAGTCCAGTGAGCAGGCATGTCTTTTAAACATAAAAGTGGCAGTAAGAAAAGACAAGAGAAAGGTGCGTTATTATGACCTCCTCCGCTGTTTGTTTGTTCATTTGTTTGTTGTCAGAAACTTTTTACTCCGCCCTCTAGTGCCATGTACTAGCTGTATCTATGCTAACATAAAGGATGCATGGAAGTATGTGGGTAGTGACGGTCACAACATTTGAAATGAACGGATCTATTTTCCGTACGTAGAGGGAGTTTAAATGAGCCTTGAGCCTGCAGCTATCTTATCCTGACTATAAAATGACCTGAAGTGGCTGACCTAACTACACCACTGTGGATTGTCTGTTTGATTGTCACTTATGTAAGAGGAAGACGAGGACGGAGTGAGATTGCTAAACTTAATGCCAGGAGATATCACAGATATCTCATAAGAACAAAAAACAAAACTAGTGTTGACTTCTCTGTCCTTGCATGTTGAACTGAGAGCAGATTAGACGCAACAGGGACTCACTATCACCTCTGGAGGTACAAGTGGCACTATAGGACAGGATGAGCCGGGGCTAGATGCTTATTTCAGTAGGTGCATCTGCAACACAATATGTAGAAGTAGTAGCATTTATGATGCAGCCTTATTGTGGGAGGGTAGTAACCATACGTTGTTGTGACTCAGATCACTGATACCAAATAGCAAACAACCTGTCTGACCTCTTGAGAGTCAAAAGCGACACGTAGTCCCAGTTTGGCCATCCCGTCCTCTTTCAGCAGCTTGAGGTGTGGACACAGTGCCAAGCAAAATGCCCGGGCGATCCGCTCTGTTAACCTGTCGTGTTCTGCAGTGTCACTCGCTCCTCCTTTGGGATGATCCCCCCTCTGCAGGAAGAACACCTGCACACATCATACACAGACATGTAAAGAGAGGAGACAGTGTCAGATGGACTTGTGTTGATCATTTTAAGCAGGTCATCATAAGTACTTCTGTCCAACGGATGATCTTCCCATTTTCTTTGTATTCTGACTTCTGGAACATTTTTGTACTGCTGATGGACTCCATGGATTTCCCATCAATGGGGCTGATAACTCTGGAGGACACAAACACCAGATATTAAAATGCAGTTGTTACAGTGCTTGGTTGGTTGGTGTTAAAGCCTGCGTAGTGTGATATATTGTTTTCTTTGAGCACAAAAACTTCATTCTGCCACATGCAGTTCAAACAGGTGAACACCCTCACCCCTTATTCACAGTGCATTTCTCCTCCACCCACTGTACACAAACCAGCTCCTGGCTGTCTGATTGGTCAAGCCGTCCGCAGGTGACGGTATAGTCCTTTATCTCCCGTAGCGACCGGCGGAGCTCCGCCATGGTTTCCACAGTGATCTGCACCATCAGCCCATCTGGAGAGAGGGGACAGCGATACAGGAGAAACACACAAACAGACACACACGCACACACTCACATGCATCAACGTGTACACACGCCTAGACAAACAGTCTGTTAAAATGTACACAGACACACACATACAAAGATCAACACGTTCTGAATAAACCAGTTCTGAAGCAGGGGTGTTAACATGCTACTTCAAAAAGCAGTGTAAACAATGATTTTCCTGCAGGGCAGGAAAAGTCAAGGTGAAGCTGACTCCCCACTGAGCGGACATCCTACCTTCTACGATGCTGGACTTGGCCAGATATCCTGCAGTCGCTTTCAGTGCACTGCTGAATATAAAAAAGCAGGATCCAGTCACTGCAATTTAAAAAAAATAATAGTAATTAAAGACATATTCTGTGGTTTAAATCCTGTAATCAGTCTTTATAGCGACAAGAAAAAACTGTTATATAGTGCCATCTGGTGTTACATTAGGGAACATCTTTGGTCCAGTGGGCCACACGCTTGGAGCCTTCTCTTTAATTTCCCTTAGGGCAGTTTCAAAGTTAAACACAGTTGCTCTGTCTTTATTCTATATCTGCTCCTTCCAATATAAATGAATCCATGTCAGATTTAAACTGAGTGAAACGTACCACAGAAGAATACACTCTATGTCTTTAGGGACATTGGGATTAAGAATGAAATGTCACTGGTTTACACAATGTTTGGCTGCACATTTATTTGTAATGGTGAATTTTCTGCAGCAAATGCACAATCTACTAATTTAACCCTCTGAGACCCACTGAAGATCCATTTTTGTCTCAGGGGGAGATGTTAGGTCAACAGTAGATGCCTTACAGAAGTGTTATACATCATCTGGAAGCTGGGAATCTAAGGACTAATTTGAGATGCAGCTTAGAGCGTATTGGGGCTTAGAACATCATGATGAAGGTATCCGATGGCCATGCCCATGCTTATTTGCGTCTATAAGTTGTTGCATAAATTTTGTGGTTGATACCATTTGCTGTTATAAAAATAGTCAAAAATTCCTTCAGTATATCACATTACAACACCAAGACTTTGAGGAACACGACAGAAAAATCCATGCTGTCATTTGGTATCAAAAATATTTGACACTGAGCGATTTCTGTCAGAATTTCATTTCTGAAAACTGCAAAGAAACCTCTTATTGCCAATATACCTATGAAAGCCATACATCCTCTGAATGCCTGAAATCTCTAGTTTGTGAGGCTGTGATTTTCCTAGAGGTCACTATAGGTCATTTTATACAATGCTGTCAATTTTCCCTACATTGAAATGGCTGCAATGGAGGTTAACATCATCATACTCGTTGAATCCACAAGAGTCCCAGCTTTCCAGTCATATCCAATTTATGCAATTCCAGTGCTGTTTATGGACCCTTGTATGCAGAAATATTCAAATACAATTAGCAAAATAAGACATACTCCATGCAAAAAACTGCATGGAACCAGCATAAAGCGGGCATGACTGTAAAGGGAAAACTCATGGGTATCCATAGAACATATTTTCATTCAGGTATCTTGTTGGAAAGGTCAAGGGACCTCCTATGAAAATGGCCATGCCCCTTTTTTCCCTCGACAAAATTGTAATGTAGAACAGAATCAGAGCCAGCCCTGTGGGTCTTGAATTTGAATTCTATTTAAATTAAATGACAGAAAAAGTAAATTAAACATGTGTGGATAGCACCAAATGTTCTGTGGAGTTAGACAGGCTTTTTTTTAATTTCTAATGAATAATCACACTGAATATAGCTCTTGTGTTGATGTTTTTTTCTGATGCACCAATTCAAACAAATATTAACAGATAAATGATCTTATTAGTCAATCAGGGCGCCCCCCCCCTTGTTGCAATCTGTATTTCTGACTGTAATGAACATCCTTCACTACTTGATTATGTGACATTGAGTCCAGACTCCCTCACAGTATCCTGTTACGGCCCACCTTTGCGTGGCTGATTGTGGATGCTGATGGCTTGGGTCTGGTACTGGCCATCGTCTCCTTGCACACAGATGAGGTGGGAGTCTGCAGTCTCATTGAAGCACGCTCCGATGGCCAGCACATGCTCATTGGATTTATTCAAAGCCTTCATTAGCTAATGAGCGACAAGTGGGCAGAGAGGGAAGCATGATGATTGATGAAAACTGCATAAATATTATTATTAATTCTGTGAGGCGCTTAAAGGCTTTGACTTACTTCATTATACCCGTTGGTTGGTATCTTTATGCAGGTCCTCTGAGCCTCTAGATCCACAGTGAGCCCCGGCACCATTGGTAGGCTGTAACGGTAATTCCTAAAGTCCTGAAACAGGATGGGAGGAAAAGTTCAACATCAATTATAGGAAGTTTGATAAAAGTTACGACACCAAACAGAAGTTGTTGCACACTGTCATACTCACAACTAACAGTCTCATTATGGTGTGGCCAATTTCCCCAAACAAGGGCTTCCTGAAGCGCACGCTGTAAAGGGGACACGGGTAAACTGGAACGAGAAAGAAAAGAGGGTAACTGAAGAGGAAAACTTGAGAATTAAAGATGCAGTAATTTACACCAGGGCCTGGCTTACTCACATCTGTACTCGGCCCCCAGTCGCAGCATAAGACGCAAGGGGAAGGCTTTGGCCCAGGCCACCTCTGCTCTGTGGACCAGCAGGCCAAAGAGGTAGGGCTGGTTTGGCAGAGGTAGACCTTGAAGGGACTGGAGAGTGGGGCGAATGTACAAGAAGCCCGCGTGCTCCTCGCTGCCCAGGAAACTACTGCCGAGCAAGGACAGCGACAGGTGTTTCACAACCTTTCCTGCAGAAATACAGAGAAAAAGGTCATGTGTAATTATAGCAGGGAAAACACTTTGAGGGAGATGACAGGCAGTGCATGGTAGGCAGTTTTTCAGAATGAGTGGAGTCTAAAAGAGGGCAAAATTCAATATAACACATCACCACTACTGTACACTGAGCTCAGCTACAACATAAAAACCACTGACAGGTGAAGTGAATAACATTGATTATCTCATTGCAATGTAATGTTCTGCTGGGAAACCTTGGGTCCTGGCATTCATGTGGATCCCACTTGACACGCACCACCCACCTGAACACCATTGCAGACCAAATACACCCCCTTATGGCAACAGCATGTGGCCCTCAAGCAGGACAATGCCCCATGCAACACAGCAAAAACTGCTCAGGAATGGCCCAAGGAACATTACAAAGAGCTCAAGGAGTCAACCTGGTCTCCAAATTCCTCAAATCCCAGTCTGATCAAGCATCGCTGGTATGTGTCAGTACCCTATCTTGTAAACCACATGACTGGCAAATGCCCTGGTGGTGTCCAGAGGTCCTGTGTCCATGCCTCAACAGATCAGAGCCAAATCCGATCCAAGGAGACCCCACTGTGAATCATTAGTACCTCTGGGGTACCGACACTTCCATAAACGCTCGATCAGAGTGGGATCTGGGGGATTTTGAGGCAAGATCGATGCCTTAAGCTCTTTGTCACATTCCTCGGGCCATTCCTGAGCAGTTTTTGTGGTGTGGCATGATGTATTGTCATGCTGGGGGGCACTGCCATGGGGAGTGTTGTTGACATGAGGGGGGGTACTTCGCCTGCAATGGTGTTTGGGTTGGTGGAGGGTACTATGAATGCCAGAACTTGTATGTACAGTAGCCATCTTATAGTGTGTCTCTGACCTGTGAGGGTGTCCCTGTACAGCTGGATAAAGTGGCTGAAAATGTCTTTGGGGAAGCTCTTCTCTTCAGGCAGGCACTGCAGCAGCACCACCACCTCCACCTGGCCGACAGCGTGCATTCCCTTTGTTGTTACACACCAGCACTTCCTGTTGACATCTGTCACACAACCAAGACACAACCTCAGTGGTCTACAAAGACAGTCCAACTAAAATCACATTTAGTCATCCATTTTTGTAGTCAATAATAGTGATAATAATTCATATGTTGGATCACACACACAAGGGAAAAAAAGAGACGTACAGTTGACCAGCTTGACCATAGCCAGTAGGTTGGCATTGAGGACAAACACCAGGGGCTTGGGCCTGCCACTCTCCAACTCCTGAATAAGCAGCATCTCAGAGGGCTGCTCCTCCACAGTGTAATCTGAGGAGAGAACATAGTGACAATGCTGTTAGACAGTAGTATCTCCTAAAGCTGCTCACACTGCTGGCACTGTAAAGTATTTTTCTGATGCTGCACTTTTATCCATTGTAAGCAAATAAGGACGCCAACTTTTATGACTTCAGGATTCATGTTTGAAGATGAAATAGCTGTGCTAGGATTAATAACCACTGTCTAAGTCTGGTCCTAATTAAGATGCAAGGCTAGTAGCTTTTATTAATGCTATCATTTTTTAAACGCCCCTGTTTAACCAGGCAGAACGGGGTCCAAATTATTATTTAAAGTAACAGCACTAAAGGGAGTCGTCGGGAATTGTAAGTGGGAATAATGAAAACATAAATACACTAATCACTACTTCATCTTTTATTCACAACAGACAATCTTAAAAGTGTTCATTTAGATTATCCAGCATTTTCTGTAGCTGCTGCTCTCATTTAATTTTGATGCCTCAGTTTTTTCTTCCCTTTGTCAGCACTACATTGTCAACTCCTCATCAGAGACCACATTTTCACCTCACCTTGTGTTGCCTGATTTGATTTTGACTCCCTTCTGTCTGTGCCTCTCCCCTTATCTTTACACTGTGCACACAATTATGCAAGACATGCCAATAAACTGGAAAACCACATTTCAAGGTCAGGAAAATGCCAGCATCTGTGCTACCATGAACAAAGACACAAAGTCACTTTGCTAAATCTTTTCATTCTCACCCTCAAATTGGATGACAGTTGTCTTACCTCCTTTGACTCCTGTGGAGGTGAGGATGGGTGGCAAGCCATCCAGAGGGATGAGGTTGGCAGAGCTGCTGACTAAAGCTGTGGTGCCCCATCCATAAGGACCACAGGCCTCCTGGGGGAAGAGGACGGCAGAGGAGTAAGAACACATTTCTCATCAGATCTGTCCTGTAAAACTACCTGACTTACTATAAGACAACAAATATGTTCTGTGTCATGTTTTGTTACGTTGATATTCGTCCCATGCGGCCGCAAGGCTCTCCTAAGCTGTGGTGACCCCACAGGACTTCTGACCGGCCCGCCCAGCGCTCGTCTCATCAGCGGTGAGAACCCTCTGACTGGTGTGGTTGGAGCGGACTCTGACTGCTTAGTGGGGAGGATGTCATCTGCAAACCACACCCTCCTTTTCCCCCTCGGTGGTGTCCCTGAGGAGAGGATGGAAGAATTAGGAGACTAATTGGGATTGGGGTCGGTTGGCACACAGCTATTTTCTGGTCCTTTGAAGGTCACAGAAACAAAAAAGTAACATCGAAATGTTTGCTTTCTTCAGCTGCCCTCTTCTACTATCTTAACTGTAACTGTGACTGTATTTTAAGACGCTAAAATATATATCCTCTTTCCTACTTTTCTATCCATCTAACCTCAACCCTTCAGATCCCACTCAGAAACCCCCAGACCGCACTATTAATCCTACTCATAGTCTCAAGTACTGCAAAGTGTGCCAACCAACCCTGGTCTATCCAACTTCTGCATAGCTTCATTAAAAACTGTGAATTTGAGATAAAAAAAAAACTGTTCTCACTTTTGAGGAGGGTTGAATGACAGGAAACACAGACTCGCCCCTCCTTGCCATCCAGATGTGTGAGTCTGAACTTCAGGTTGGAGCAGAGTGCACAAAAAACCTGACAATACACACACACACACACACACACACACACACACAAACAACATGTAGGATAGACACATGTGTACATTCCACCAGTCAGCTACAAGTCACCATGTTACGTAAGAACATTTAATTAAATTGTATTTTCAATGCTGCACAACATACCAACTTTTCTCACCTTCCCACAAGCTCGGCAGTGATGCCTCCTCTTAGTAAACGTAAACTTGACCCCACACTTCATGCAGACCTGCGCCTGAGCGTCAGGGATCCACACTGGAGCTACCTCTCCTAGGACAGTGCCTCGATCCTTGGACAGAATACCAACAGGGCTCAGCTGGGACTCATTGTCAGGATCTAGTGGGGAAGCTGCACAGTCCCCCACCGCTCCCTCTCCACTGGCTCCCTGAGCCTTGCTGTTGTTCGTCTCATCTCCTCCGTTAGATCTGACCATCTTAAACTGGCTCTGGAGCTCCTTGGGCCCCCTGCCATGTGCGTCATCCTGTGAGAGAGTAGAAGGTGCTGCGGTCGCCTCGGAGCTGCAGGACTGCTCTTGCTGCTCCAGCCTGCTCTCCTCCAGCTCCTTCTCCTCAACCACAGAGTCCTCCTTTGATGGCGGAGCCTGGGGCTTCTTCTTTTCCTCTGCCACCTCCTCCTCTTCCTCCTCATCTGGCCATGCGGTCTCAGCAGGGCTCAGCACCAGGGGGCTGGAAGACTCCCCGAAACAACTCTCACCCCATGTGGAGATGGTGGTCACAGTGCAGCTGCCCTCCTCCAGCTGGGAGGGTGAGGCAGTTTTGGCAGGATGTTCAGATGGTTTCTGCTCACATGGCCCAAAGCTGCCTCTGACTGATGTGTCTGAGGGGGTCTTAGACGGAGATTCTGGTCTTATTTGGCCGCAGCCCAATCCTGGTTTGGACACATCCCCATCTTTAAGCACCAGCAGGCAGGGTCTGTTCAGCCAGTGCTGCTTGGTGTCCTGCAGAGACGGATTGTCTCCTTCATCTGTTTCGAGGGGGAGCATGATGATATCATGAACACTCAATGTGTCTATCTCTCATGCTGTCACGCACGCACACTTAGACACACACCATTAACAATGACTCATTTTGTGGGGAATGTTCACATGTGCTAGGTGGCCTTTTAACTGCATGTGATAATCTATTTCATCACCCCGGACACAAGTCATAGCTTCGGTCATCACTAAAGGTTGCATTAACACTCGCCCTTGAGGTGTGTTTGAGCTGATCACAGAACAGACCACATGAAAAAAAGAGGAAAATGTTTACTGTGGACTAAATATTGACATAAAACAAATCGCAGTTGTAGAAGCAATAGCACAGAGCTGCTGCTTCCCTGGAGAACCACAAGTTCAATAGTGGTGTTTAATTGGCTCTGTGCATCATCTCATATTGAGTGGCCACATGTCACCATGAGAATTTAAAGATTTTTTTTGGGGCTTGCAGGTGTTCACACTAAACCCTCAACTGGTTCTGTGTATTTGTTTTGTACCTTTGGTTAAAGACAAAACCAACAAATGTTTATGGTAATAAAATGGTTTGTATATTTGAATTTGGATCAGTTTTCCACTGATTACCTGCACACTATATTCAACTGAGCCCACTGTGAAAAACTATGTTTCACTGTACAATCAAATGAGCAAGGTCATAGGTTTTGTTTCAGCACTGTTGAGGACCCATAGATGTATATAATAACAAGATAATGGACCCCAAGATGGCACCTTTTCAGTCCAATGGAACCGCTCACCTGGCACATATGCAAGCGGTAACGTTGAAAAATTGACTTAAGATTTCACCTTAAGTCACCTGTTTACATTTTATTAAGTTACGCATATTTTAGGGCAGGCCACTTCGAGTGACTGAGAGTGTCCTCAGCTTCTCAGTCAAATCCACGCCTTGCTCCTCCACAGCTCCAGCCTCTGGCCCAAATATGGTCACTTCTAGCCCTAAAAGCCAAGATGGCAAAGGCCAAAATGCCAAAGTCCACAAACCAATGGGTGACATCACAGTGCTTAAGTCCTTTATTTTTAACTGTGCGTTCCAGTCCCCATATACCATACCATATAGTGAGCCAGAAAAAGATTTAATATGCCCCAATACATAGTATGCCAAAACAGTGTGCCAAAAATACCAGGATGTTCTCCTAAATCTGGTCTGATTTTGCAGCGTGCAAGCCAGCATGCTTTTCCAGCTATTCTGACCCACAGTCCTCTGCACCTCTGTCACATCGACTGAGCTGCAAACGTAATGTTATGAGGAAGTATGTCCTGACTGTGTGCATACTGCATGCAACATTTAAGGGCAGTTGCATTACCTACTAAAAGTAAAAAGAAATGGTATGCAATTCATGCACCCTCTTTTGGGGGCCACTGGGGATTTTTGCTGCAATGCCACAGGTGGCCACTGGGGAAAATTGGAAGCAAGGCTGAGCTCCATTCCTGGTGGTCTGGGGGTCTTCCACCAGAAAATTTTGAGTGGCTTACACTTGATTTTCTGCATTCTGGTGATGGGCAAAATTGTGCCTTTTCTGCATCAGTTCCCTGTCCTCTGCTAATTCCATGTTTTTACTGGGGAGGGTGCAAATTCACATGTTGTTAATATTGAGGGGAACATGTCCCCTGCAGCCCCCCAAATCTGCACCCATGCAAATGAGCCATTAGATTCTGAATGACTCCATTCATAATCTCAACCTCAGGTTCTACATAAATGCAGCTCCTTCTCTGATTACAGCCAATTACTGTTTCAGCACCATTCCCTCATTAGGGGCTTACGTAATAACCATTATGGTAAATCACCAGCACGTATGTGAGTTAATGTGTCCATGGCTGGTGTTTCATTGAGCTGCAACACCCAGTGATTCATGAAGAGTTATGACTCAGGACACGGTACTTTAACAACCACTGGAAATCATCCTGCTGCAGCCTACATGCTGTTCACTTCATACTGTTTAGCTGCGCTGTTGATGGGAAGGATCTGGTCTAATTTTCCTGTGTGAAACTGCATTGCAGCGCTAAAGCCATAAAAAGAAAGGCGGGTCGTTTCGGTCCTGCTGCGGGCTACACAGTGAAGATTCCCCGACACGGCACGGCACGGCGGGGCTGCACCGATCCGACTGACTGGAGCGATTGCTTCCCGGGACAGTGACGCATTCAACACACGTGCAAATGTTTGAAACGCTGGCAGGCACCGAGGCCGGCGGCAATGCGACACTCACCCCGCACCCCGTTACATCAGCGCGAGCAGGATACTTCACTGAGGTGGTGTTTACTGAGGAGTCTGTATGTGCGCAGCCTGTCTTCAATCGGGAATGTGCGCAACACACACACACAGATGATGCGGACTATGCGCGCGGCCAAATGCTGTGTCAGCGATTTTCTGTGACAAACACAGACGCGCAGTATCATCACCCTGTAACGCACAGGCAGTGAATGGGGAAGTAAAGCATCCCCACCCCGATGCAATCAGCGCAATCCTTACCCTCAGTTATTGCTCCCAGAAGGCTTTCATTCTCGTCATCCCGCGCAGAGAAGAACTTCAGCATTTTATCCTGTTACATGAGAGAGCCGAGGAGCACGGATCCAAGCAGCAGTGCCTTGCTCACAAGCGGAGGGGATGGGATGATTTCGCCTCTCTACCCCCCTCTCTGTGATCTCCCTCCTCCCCTGTGTCTCTCTGCAGCTCTTTGAAGAAACTCAAGAGGTGTGCAGAAATGTCCCTCCCCAGTTTGCCGTCTCCACAACCCGCAGGACAGCAGGCAGGCCAAGACAACAGAGCTATGATGCCAGATATGAAAAGCCTGGCTGCATGCACAACCTGTCATACTGCAGGATGCATCACTCAATTAGCAGCTGAGCACATTCCCATGCAAAACTGCAGAATAAAACCTTCAATCTCGTCAATGACCACAGCACCATCTAAAAAATGTTAATCACCTTTATTTTGTTTCATAAACAAAAAGTCTTAAGACTAGCTTTAATGACCACTGTAATCCTGACCATGACTGACAATGTGGTGAAGGGATTTAACCATTTACCAGAAGGGGGTATTTTTCATTTTTTTATAAGTGCACAAGCCAGTCTGACTCGGACATCCGTTGGCCATCGTAAAATAGAAAAGTCTCTGGTTTGTGGGGATAGTGTCTGATATGTCTGGATGACTAGACTTAAATTCACCACAGTCCAGCCCGTGTGCACATGAACTTCACGTGCGTCAGTTGGCCTCGTTCTTTGACGCTTCGTCGAAGTTCTCCACCAGATCTGCAGAACAACAACACATTGTGAATTATTACATTGTTGGAAAACTGTTCAGCATGTTCTTACTCCTGAAAATTATATCAAATGCACTCAGCTGAATCATTATTGTAGACAATACATCACTTCTACAAAGCAGATCTTCTTTTCGTGACGAAATAATAGGCTTAACATTGAGAGAGTTTGTTTAAATGTGTGTGCAGACACAGAAAAACAAGTGAACTGTCCGACTTTTACACAGCTAATGGTTCATACCTGGAACATCATCATCCTCTTCCTCAATGTCCTCTGCCTTTGGAGCCTTGCTGTCGAGAGCTGAGATAAAATATACACATTTAAAAAATGTTCATGTTGCATCATTATAATGAACATAGAGCCTTTATTTTATGTTGAGTATGTTGTGCATGCACTGTCCTGCTGATGTAAATACTCACTCGAGCACCAAATGTAAATTGATCAACAGCTGGACATAGTATGTCAGACATTGTAAGACATATGTAAACATCCTAAACAACAAGCGAGGCGTTGCAAAAGCTCATCTTCCCTGGAGGTGAAATTGTGATCAAACTGCACTCGCGGTTATTTGGTCTCTTCTGTCAGGTTTACCTATTTCAATTACGCATGAAATTTCCTTCCAACTGAGTCAAGTTTGTCTAACATAAACCAAAAAAGTACCATTAATGTAATTAAATTGAAAAAAGAAATGTGATGTACAGACAATGGGTACACACAGAATATGTTAACAGCAATTACATAAACCTTATTCAGTAAAATTAACTAAATTCTAAGAGCTATTGTTACATAATTTCTGAGAGACTGAGATTGTTTTTTGTTGTTGCTTTTTTGCCTTTATTTGACAAGACAGATTAAATGTAAAAGGGGAGGATGACATGCAGCAAACGGCCACAGGCTGGAATCAAACCTGTGGCCGCTGCTGCAAGGACGATGCCTTTGTAAATGAGACGCCTGCCCCAATCAGTGAGCTACTCTCAGTTTTATTGGATTTAATTATATAAATTGTATTTTTTGGTTTATGTCAGAATTACTTGACTCAACTGAATGCAAATTATCAAAATACAATGGAAAACAGTGGTGTCACTTAGAGACGCTTCTACCCAACTGGAAGTGAGAAATCTGAACTAAAAGGCAAAATAAAAACTGACAAATAACAAACTAAAAACTGGACTTCGTCTCTTGTCTCCCTTATCCTTTGGTCCTAGACAAGCTGATAAATGCGATAATGTTGCATGAAAAAATTATGGATTTATGTGGAAGTTATATTAGTTACCACAATTTTTTTGAAGCCACTAACATGGAAAATCTTAGACACCCTTTACACTACTTTAAAAGCCCTGACACAACAAGCCGACGGTCAGCTGTCGGTCAATGTTGGGCTGTTGGTGAGTGTCCGTTACCCTAGTCGGTGCAGTGTCTCCTGCACCATTGCCCCGCATAGGCCCGTTTGCTTTTTGTTTTTTTTGGCTGATTCAGCATATTAAGTTGACGTCAGTGAAGCCCATCAATGAATGAAATCACTCTGATTGGCAGTTCAGCTCAGTGCATGAGAAGTGAGAAGGAAGTGAGGAAAGTAAACAAACAGCTAAAGTAAAGAGGGAGTGAGAACAAAACAAACTTGTTACATGAGGTAAAATTATTTTTCTTTAGCCATTGAGCTCTTAAGCAGAAATGTGTCATGATGGTTTTTGTTATTGTCCACTGGTGCAAAGTAAATATGCTTTGTCCTTTCAACATTGGATTGTGTTGTTAATGTGTTAACTGGCTAAATAGCGGCAAGACAGTTTTCCTGTTTCCCTTTTTGAATGACGATAACAGACTACCACCGTCTGCAGGTGTGGAGAGTTATTTCCTCTCACACAGGCACAGAATGTACGTGCAACTTTGTGGTCAGGCTACACAACAGGAGGCCTTTGTCACAGCTACTTCTCTGAAGTCTATTTGGTGCATCTGGGCTTTTATGCTCCCTCAACTTGGTAAGACAGACCTCCTGACTCTCTTCGTTACAGTGACTGTCAGAGGTCTAAGAGGTCCAAGCACACCCACCTTGCCGAGGGAACTGTTCTGCCAGTTTGCGCAGGCTGCTGAGGCTGTCTGCTCCTAGCTGGCTGAGGATGCCGGGAAGCATCTCTGTCAGCTGCTTGGTCTCAGCGTGGCCCGTGATGGCGAAGGTGTTGGCGGACAGAGAGGCCTGAACTTTGGGGTTGTTGAAGTGGATCACAGTCCCGTCATCCTTGATCATGTTCACCTGAGAAGAGACGACCGCTCAGGTTTTACAATTATGGCTATAATGATCTGAGAAGCTACTCTACGCTGAGTAAATGTATGCAAATGACTTAACAAGAAACAGATAAGTGTGAAAAACCTGAGAGCAGTCTGGTCTACACAGCCACGTTAGAATGCACCACATTCATGTTAATGTAACATTCAGAGTTCACATATGCAGAAGATCCACACCAATTTACCTCCTCAATTCCAGCAATATTGTTGACAGCCAACTTCTTAAGTGAACTCTGAAGCTTTTTGTCGTCAGCTGTTGCAGTTCTGTGTACCACCTTCTTCTTCCTGCGTGCAGATCCCTACAACCAAAGTAGACATACAGTGTAAGACTCCTAAAGGACAGCAACTTGAAGCCAGCTATGACTTACAGGAGTGACAGCATTAGGAGAAAATTAGGGGCCACACAGCCTTTGCTGTTTTATTACAGTATTCAATACACACATGAATCAAATTGGGGCGACAGAAATACACTGGCAACAAGTTAATAACTGCAGCTATAAAAACCCAGCAGAGTTACTGGTTGGGTTGACATCTCCTGTTTTTGTCAACAAATGTGTTTTTCCAACAGCTGGTCTTATTTTCTGTTACACAATAACTTGATGCAGGTCTGCCTCCATAACTTCTTGTCAGATACTACATTTTACTAACTATGAGAGGAAGCTATAATCATCTGAAAAGGGGAGACACAAGGCATTATCTAAGACTCTCAAATAATGTATCATAATGCAGCCATAACAAACCGATTTATCCTCAGAGTTAGGCCTGCACATAATTTATAAGTTAATCTCCTAATTATTTTTCTTGAATACATGCCAGAGTAGTATAAACGTGCCCATGACAATTTCCCAGAGCCCAACATGACATATTCAAAGTTGTTTCTTTTGTCTGGTTGCTTCTTTTGTCAAAACCCAAAGATGTTATTTACAATACAAGAAACCAAGAAAACCAGCAAAACATCACATTTGAGAAACTGGAGTCAGAGAACATTTGGTATTTTTGGTTGAAAAATGATGGAATCACTGACTGATTATCAAAATAGTTGCAGATTAATTGTTTTGTTGATTACTCATTTGATTAATCAACATATTGTTTTAGCTCTAAATAATTTCATTGCAATTTAAACATCATTTTTATTAATACATATATTTATACATTTGAATTTTTGCACTAATCATCTGAAAGTAAATCTTAGTCTGAGACACTCTACATCCAGTTTGTTGCATTGAAAATGTATTATGACAGCACTGAAACATATAAATCCCAACAATTAGAAAGAATACTAACACCACTCTTTATGGCAAGAAGAAGTACCTCAATACAGATATTGCAATGATATTTTAGGCTTGACTAATGGTGCTTTCACAAATTATTTACACAATGGGATTTTTGATAAATAATTATCAGTAATGTGGATATAATGACTAACTGTGTAAAGGCAAATAATAGAACAGCTAAAACAGTGTGGTAAATTCAGAAAAAATACATCACTTTACTGTAATGAAGCTTTTAAAACCAGGAAAAAACAACCCTTATGACATTATGTTATCCAAAATCTAAGACGTTTAAGGTTTGATACTGTTCACAGTCAAAGTAAATAACTTCTACAGCTAAATACTTCACTTTCTCTGCGATAACATAAATGTAATTTTGGAAAGCTGCGGGGTCAATGTAGTAATCCAAAAAGCAATTCTGCTCCTCTGTTCTTTTTTAATTACACACAGGGCTAATCTTCTGTCTCTGTCTGTCTGTCTGTCTGTCTGTCTGCTTGTGTGTATGTGTATCTGCTTGTCTAGCAGTATTACTAGTCTATTACTAAAATAATACAGCAAAGAAAACTGACCAGACGCCAAAACTATCGGGCAGAGCGGCACTGCAGTGAAAGCTTTGGCATGCTGGGAAGCCAGCTTCCCAGCACACTCTTGTCTAATCCTGGCGCTCTCACCCAGATGAACTCTCAGGAACTGATATGTGGATTGGTACTCAGTATTACCGAAATAATTCTGTGGGTACCCTGTTTGGCACCCAACTCTATAGACATTAATGAGTCTTCTGTCACAATATAATACTGATAAATTGCCCAGCCCTGCTTCAAAGTGGCTTCTGATCAACAATGAGTTTAATTTACA